CATGTCCTCTGTGGCATCACTGGAAATAATATTTTTAAAAAGAACAAACAGAAGATGGGTGCTCTCGTTTGAAATTGAACAACACACTCTGAGAATAAAGAAAATATCCAACTTTATTTATTTATTTATTTTTTACAAACCACCTCTAACAATACATGCATTTGAAAAAAAAAATCTATATCTATATTATTTTTTATTTTAGCAACTATGCCTCTGATTATTTAGCACGGGCACAAAAACATAAATTCTTTATTAATTTGTGAGTTAAATATGAACCGCTCCATCAAATATCCTATTGTGTGTGTGTGTGTGTGTGTGTGTGTGTGTTTCTCCCAAAGTTGCTACAACAGCAGAAATACAATATTATTGTTTCAGTGCTTGATGACAGCTTTGAGTTTTACTGCATATGTGCCTTAAAGCTGAAAATTAAAAAAAAAGACGACCGTCTCTGTGTGAATCATTCTTTTGGTAACCAACCCGTTGTTTTATGTGACAATGAGTCATATAAAACTCATTGTCAAACCGCACAAAACCGTTCTGATTGTCTCAATTTGCATTCTGATCCGGGTTGTTGGTTCCACCCCTTCACGTTCATGTTCCGTGATCCGTTTTCAAAATGCAATTTCAAAACATGCTTTGCCACAAAGTAACAAAGTAACTTTCTTTTTCTCCCCCCAAAAAGTTTATTTTATTTGATGGATTTTGCAACCTTGGAATTGTGGATATTATACCTTGACAGCCACAAGGGCTGCAAAAATAAACCACCCTTGCCATTTAGAAGGATCTCAAGTAGAAGGTTATATTCAGCAAGGCATCCTCCATGTACTGAAAAATTCATCTTAAAAAAAGAGAAAAAAAGAAAGAAAGCTGAACTTTTCATCCACTTTAAACTACAGAGTATGTCTCCACCAAAAACCTTCGAACCTTAAGGTCATGTAGATTGAAGGGCCTCATAGAAGTGAATGACACTCCCTAATGTGAAAAAATGAGCAGGCTATAAAATGTTAAACCATCTCTCATCCAGTGTGACGTGAGCCAATTTCACAAAACTGTTCTGTCATCAAGCCAGAAAGATAAACTCCTCTGTTTACTCATAAAATACAAACAGAGCCAGCAAGACGGCGCAAAGTCTTATAAATGGACAAATCGCTGAACCAAAAGAGGCAAGAAGTGGAGCCGGGCTGCTTTAATGCATAAAATATTGTTACACTGACAGGTGTAACAAAATATGGAAGCGAGAAAAAAAAAAAAAAAATCAGCAAACTTGGGTGTTTAATATTCCAAGCTGGTTTATTAGGCCTCCAGCATCACAGCACAGTTCAAAATGGCAGCTTTCCCATTAGTCAGTCTGTCTGCTACATCCAGCAGTCTGCCTGTACACTGGTTCTCAATTTACCCCCAGCCAATCAAACCACAGCTATCGCTGCTCCCTCCATTAAAAGAGTTGGATTTGAGGTGGGTCTCCTTCTTGGCAGGGTTCCAAGATGGCCGCTGCAACGGCACACCCACAAGGTAACAAACATTTCACAGACAAAAGTTCTATGCACACTATAGAACTCAAACATTACAGAAAATCTTATTGCTTCCTGTTCATCTCCCATTTTTAAGCCAGATCACATCCACTGTAGGTGATTCAGAGCATGAAAAATACATCTCTGCAATACTTTGTTCAGCAACACACGCCACTGGTCTTTGGCTGCTGACCACTGCTGTCTTCTAAAGCAGACGTTGTATTCTTCTTGGCGTAGATCGTCCAATGTCGTAGCAGTGGTGAGAATTAAATGACCCCACGCAGCGTTGTGGTGTGTTTATTTGTGTTTTTTTTTTTTTTTTTTTTTTTGGGCCCTTGCCACAGAACTCTAGCTGCCCTCCAGTCTTATCACTTCACCAAACTGTGAAAACTCAAAGCAGGCTCAGCAATCAATCTGTGAAGAAGTCTTTGCTTCACTAAACTTTCCTCTTATTCTTGCTTCTTGTTTTTTTTTACTTAAATGAAAGGAGCCCTCAAAGGGATGGGGGATATTTTTCTTTTGCGTTCTCTGGCAATAATGAACTGATCAGTTCATGAGGCTTAATTGAATACTGTGAGCCTTTCGCCATACTTTTTTAATACAGGGGTATGTAAATTTTATTTTTTTTGCAAATGTTAATGTCTCCTTATGAAATATGTGAAGTTTTATATCTTTGTCTTTAGTTAACGCACCACAAACCTGTGATATAAACACAAACTTTCAATAAGTAGGAAAGAAATAAAAATGCATCCAAACTATTTAGGACTATTTCCGAGTTGTTATCGCGGGTACCAAGTCATCTGATGGTTTTGATTGTGTCTCTATTGTGCTGGTCTAAATGGTTTAAAGGGCCGTTCTCCTATTCAGTTCCATTTCAACCTTAACCGACACAAATATGCAGCGAATAAATTGATTTTCAATAAGCTTTTTGCACCGAAGAGTTAATAATGACAAACACGTTTTCACTGCGGCTCTGTAGGAGCCATATGAATGAAATAAGTAATTATTGACATGACAGCAGCACAGGGCTTTGACACCTGGTTGGTGGGCGTGTCTATGTTTCTGTCATCAAGTATGGATGAGAAGGTTTCTGGCCTGCTGGCTTTGTGTGCATGAGGAAGCGGTGATCGGTTCTTGCAAAGTTTGGAGCATGATAATCAAAATGGAACCAATTGATAATTGTGACGGAACAAAGAAGTGGTTTGGAGTTGACTGATGCACGGACAGATGAGATGCGGCCCTCGACCACCACTAGTTTGACATGTTTCATAATAATAAAACTCTGCAAAATCGATTTATTCACCACATGTTTTGTGTCTGTGTAAGACTGAGATGGAACTGCACATGGAAAAGGCCATTTAAACCATCCAGACCAGCACAATAGAGACACAATTTAAACTGTCAGATGATTTTATTACTGATAATAACTCCAAAAAAGAGTTTAAATAGTTTAGATGTATTTTTCCTTCTTTCCTTCCTTCTTTCCTTCTTAGGGAGAGTTTTTGTTTATATAATGGGTTTGTGGTGCCTTTCTATAATAAAGAAAAATATATAAAACTACAGATATTCCACAGGGAGATGTTAATATACATGAAAAAATCTTACATAACTGGTAGTTTCTTCTGTGGATTGTGGGAAGCATTTATGTTTTGTGTCAGAGGAACGCAACAAAACTCTTGTCAGAGAAAACATGACTTGGACCGTGTCTGGTGTAGAAACGGCCCAAGTCGATCCAAAATGCAGTCAATAGCCAAGGGAGTTTCACAAGCATGTCGACGAACACGGCCTCGATCCACACGTCCAGTCTGCAGCTTCTCCAATTAAACAAACTCTCCTTCAGCTTCTCATTCCACTTTAAGATTGTGGTTTAAAAAAATTGACTTTGGCACACTTGTGTAACCAGCAGGTCATCAAGGTCGTGCAATGAGAGCCTGATGGATTCATGACTGAAGCCTGAAGGAGAGAAAGCTTTAGTCACTAGAAACCCTTTCCTTGAAAATGACATCAGTTTTTCCTCACTTTTTGTTACTTTTTACACTTTGAATGACTTACTTTAATGCGAAACACTTTGCGAAATAAACCTTAATTTACTTAGGGATATAATAATTTATGTTCTGCCTCTGTTTCATGACTTACAGTGAGACTGGGCTAAATTGCACATAACAAAGAGAGATCATAAATCATCTTCTACCGCGTCTACATCCCTCTTGCGGCTGATGTTCTCTGATTGTTTTTTTTATAAGAACTAAACAACATTATAAAAACTGTTCACTGCTTCCAACACATTCACCTATATAAGCAATCTAAGCTCAATATGCATTCACGACAGACGATCATTCACTGATCACACCGTCTCATCCAAACGCTATCGCTCCAGCGGAAATTGGGTCGTTTATTCTCCACAGCGGCATACCTAGCTTTCTTCTTACTTTGATGCCGACTCTTGCTGTTAAACCAGAAAAAACAAAAAAACCTCAAACCTCCTTATGTGTTTGCAGAGTTCTCTGTTTGCACAAACGCTTAAAGGTTGCACAATTCAACCTTTAAGTTCCTGTTAGGTGTAAAGAAATAAAATATAATGGTGGAGTGAATTAAAATGTTCTTTCTAGAGCAATTTTTTTTGTTGCACTTTCTAAATGTATGTAAAACAAGCCAGAAGGCAACTGATGGCTTCAAACAGCTCTGATCGTTGAGAGTCAGATCCTACTGCAGGGTAATCGTATGCACACGGATGTTGCATGTGGACTTTGTGAGCTGGATCTGCGTTAAATATTTACATAAATATTTAGCATAAATTCTGTCATTTCCTTTAGAGTTTGAGGCACATTCACATAGTTAAAACACACATGCTGGCATGTAATCAAACAGAAATTCTTTGCTCATTTATTGCTAAAAATGCTTAGACAAATTGCTTCTTTTTTTATATCAAAGAAAGGCCTGGTTTTAAACAATCAAAGCAGCTGAGGTGTACTCGCTTTGCAACATCCGGATGTCTGCAGCTGCCATCGTTTATTATCCATTGTTTCAAATATAAGGACGCAGTGACAACTGTACTCTAGGGCTGTTGCACAATACAACCTTTAATAAGCCCACAATGCAGTCCTTATCGAAAGCTGTCAAGTGCTGGCAGTGTATGGCAGCCTGTGCAAGAGGTATCGACTGTGTTTAGTGAGAAACACTTAACTGGGCTGACTGACATTGAAACACAACTCTCTTTAACACATCAAAGGCCTTATGATGCCACCACTTACTTAAGCATCCGTCCGTCCGTCCGTCCGTCCGTCCGTCCGTCCGTCCGTCCGTCCATCCGTCCACCCAAAAACCTAAACATTCCTCTATTATTCTTTATAGGATTACATAAGATCTCATGGGGTTTACAGGTTAGAAGGGACATAGAACACATCTTCTGCTTTTCTTACTCATCACTCAAGAAAAAGATGCCAAGTTTATTTGTTTATTTTTTACTTTTTTGCAATTTCCAGTCAATAGTGTCTGGACTTCCCTCTGTGTTGGAAATATGGCCAACTCTTGATTCTGGCCTACAAAAAATCCCCCCAAAACCAAAATCGACAGCCAATTTTTAGATTCCTTTTTGTAACTTTGGACTTTTTAATCACCTCCAGTTAAGTGTTTAAATTGAAGCCGCAGCTCGCAGATCAAACCTGAACTCAGTTATTCTGAACAGAAGTTGTTTGAGATTTAAAAAGCATATGTTCTTATCATTTCATTATTCATCGACATCAAGAGAACCTAAATGTGATGCAAGCATACCGGCTGAACACGAGCCGACACTGTTTCAGCTTTTCGGGCAAATTTGCGCAAGAGAAACAAACAAAAATAATAATCATTCAAATCACTTCAGAGTCTTACTTTTCTTTTAAAGACAGTTAACACATCTCTCCTCCTTTCTCATTCTTGTCGAACCACTTTTGTGCATTTGCACATCAGAGACAATGCACAGAGGCTCGCCCAGGGCAAGGACTGCCAGTCTGCATGGCACCGTGTTGCCTAACATCTACTAAGAGCTCCGCGTGAAAGTAGCTGAGAGTGGCGCACGTCTTTTCATCCCACTGCCGAATTGAACCTGCGCCCCGAAACCACCAAGGCGCAACTCTTCGCCTTGATGGGTCGCTCTTTGACGTCGCGCCAACAGTCGTCCGCAGAGGGAACTTGGGAACCTTTCCACCTCTTTGTCTAAGCCGTCTGTCACGGGCTTTGTGAATATGGGACCCCTCTTCCTCTCCACCCGCGCGCGTGTGGCTCTCGCACTTGAGCGGTTGCGCCGCGCCACGCTGCTGATGGATCGTTCTCCTTCAGCGATCCTCTCTGGGTAGATAGATGCGCGGTGCGGCTTTGGTACTTGTGGAAAGGGGATCCGTGCGCGGGAGCGTGTTCGCGTCCGTCTGAATATGCACTTCTAGAACAAAGAGCTGAAGGTAGAAGAAGGAGAAGGAGAAGAAGAAGAAGAGGAGGGAGGCGGGAACGGGCTCGTGTCTGGCTCAAATCGGGGCTTCTAAGCGGAGGGCTCATCAGTGGCGGACTGTTCAGCATTTTTTTGCTCTCCCTTTGAGGATTTGATGGATATCTGATCAGTGGATGTGATGCCCATATATATCATCGACCGAAAATTTCCTGACATATCTGGTGAGTCGCCACACGCAGCCCGAGCCGGACTCGCGACGCGGTGCCATCTGCGTTGATCGGCGTGCTCATACGCGCGCGCGCGTGCGTGCGTGCGTACGCATAAATGCGATTTTTATGAAATTATTTCTGGGCGTGAGTGCTGCAGCCGGATGGGTGACACGGGGCAGCGTGCACCAGTTGATCATGACCCCCTCCTCCCCCCTTCCGCCCCCCCTCTGAGTTCACAACGTGCAACAGGAGATGAGACGCCGGCACGCATTTGGTGCGCGCGCGCGCTGCATGTGCTGGATATTTTTATCACTGGAGTTTTGACAGTTTAGTAAATTGGCTCCAGTTGGAAAGCGGTGGTCCAGCTGGGCGTCCTCTCCGATTACTTTATCTGCACCAGTAGGCGCAATATCCCTTTAAAAGTTATTTTTACTCGCAATCAGGAAAGCAATTTAGGAGGTGTACTTCTTATCTAGATCACATCACCTCTGGGCACCATGTCTCTTGTCTCAGAAGTGATTTTTTTTTTTTTTTTTGGGAGCCAAAGGCCCTGAGCTGAGAACTCCTTTCTTTTCTTTTCTTTTCTTTTTTTAATGTTATACCTTCATGCAAAGTAGGCCACGTTTCTACTGATACTCATTTAGATGCCCCATGTGTTCAGGGAGTCGCATGCAGTTTGCAGAAAAAGTGACTTCGCCCTGCTGATTTGCAGACACGTTTGGTGTGATGTCTCGCTGAATGATGGGTTTAATTTCAACGTAGTTTGTGAGGTCGACGGCTGTTAATGTTTTCCATAGATCACGTCAGAGAGCGTGGAGAACAAGAGTTTTAAGTCTTTTGCCTTTTTGGAAGCTTTCACCCAACACCAAACCTCATTTGAAAGAACTACGGTTAAAAAAAAAAAAGGTGCAGACTTTCCCTGGAAACTGCAAGTTCTGAGTTTAAAGTTGTAGATGCTCCTTTCTCTCTGTCTATTGGAGTAAAACTCATTAAAGACATCATTGATATGCACATATATGATGGTAAAACCCAAAGCCGGAATTAGAACAAACTCAGAATCCAGAGAAACTCCTACTAGTTTATACATCACAGACTAATTATTCTTAAACATAATCAGTCTGTGATTTATTTTTGTGTTTTTTGTGTTTTTGTCTTTTGCTCTTTTCTTTGGTTTGTGGTGTTGTATTTCCTTCTAATTCACGTGAAGCACTTTGAATGGCCGTGTTGCTGAAAATGTGCTGTATAAATGCCTTAAAAGTTTCCACAACAGAAGCTTTACTTTGAGTGGGACAGTTTCTGATCCCTAAAGAAGCATCAAGTATTAACAAGATACAATAACTTGACAATAAGCGGTTTTTATGTTTAGTTTTGATACGCCTTTCAACTGGCAAGGCTACAGGTTGGTGGGCTTACTTTTCAAAAACTTTGCATTTATAATAAAAATCCAGTCTTAATACACATGTGGAAGCATATAGGTCAGTTCAGCTTACTGATATATATGTACAGTACAAATATCATGTCAAGGCGCTTCACAAAAAACTCAATACAATCATCTACTGGTCCAAAGTCAGTTGCATACATCCCTACTGGGATTTAACTGGGATATTGAATCCCAGTTAAATCCTACTCAACAACAATGCTCTCAAGTTCAGATTATTATTCCAATGGATACAAGACTTTCCATTGAAGGAAATCGGATGTCACGGCGGATTGAAATAACTGACCTGAGATGGGAAAATAATTATAGGCAACTGCTAGGCGATGAAGAGGTCAGTTCCAAGGTGACCCAGCAATTTTCATGAGCCCAGCGCCAGACGGGAGGCTCACCACAGACTCCAGCATGGCTTCATGGACTCATTCAGTCTTCATTTCTCATTTGGTCCCAGAGAAATACGGATTTGACAGACAGACGCTGTCTACCATGTAGCTACGTCGATACCAGAATGACTGCGAGAAGGTGCTGGTTGTAATCCCACTTTGCTACATCCTACGTCTGCAATCTTTATAAAAAATAAATAAATAAATGGAAATTGTTTTTTCCTTAGGTCATTTCATTCTGACCATGCACCAATTCATACCGGCCTCAGAGACATTTTGTACCCATCTTTATGAGTGTTGATTTGAAGTAATCTTCTATATTGTGTGCTTGGCCTACTCTAGGGAAATTTGGTCAGAAGACTTCAGTAGAAATGTTCCAATGGGCTAGAGGTCACCTATAGAGTTAATTTCATCAAGGAGTCACGATCCATCGCACAAAACTCAACTGGTCCAAAAAAAAAACAACCAAAAGATAAACTGACATGCTGTGATTTAAGTACCTCAGTACAAGATGGTAGATTAACAGTGGTACACAATGGAAGAAATGAACGGAATCATAATTTCTTCCCTCCTTCAGAAAATCCTGAAGGAGAATGTCTGAACATTGGTTTAAAGCATTTGAATTATGCAGCAGAATAATGATCTGAAAATCACTTGCAAGTCCGCCACCTTAAAGGAAATAAAGGGTTTGAATTGTAGTCAAAATCTGGACTTGGATCCATTTAAAATGCTGCAGCCGAAACCGTCCAGTGTGGCTGAATTCTGCCTAAGAAACCTTTAAGACTACAATACTTTTTTTTTACGCCTTTGCACACAGAGCGAAGAAGTCGTAAAGCTACATTTCATCCAATGACAAGTGACAAGGAGGTCACCAAGCGAAATTTTAAAAACTGCCTGTGGTATTGCTTTGCAATGTGTAGTGCGAGTTTCACTGACTTTAAAAGCCAAGTCTGCCCCGTGTGTAACCCAACCACTTCTCCCTTTTGATAAACCCCATTGACATGCAGTTGTTTGTCAGAGCTGGAGGGAATAAAGATCACGCATGGACTCCAGTGCTGACATGCACACAGTTTTATTAAAGCTGTGGGTTCACTGTCACAGAAATCTGGGATTTTTTTTTTTGCCTGCCCTCTCCTGCAGACATAGAGGAGCTGTCAGGAAGTCAACTCGTGTCCTCCCTCTGTCTTATCACTTTTTTTCCTTCTTTGTTTCTTCCTGTCTTTCTTTCTTAATCTCAGCAATATCTCCTACTTCATTTCCTCACCTACTGATTGTAAAGTTGCATTCGGTCGTCGTGCTCCTGTGCTAAATCTCGTGACCTGCGGTGATGTCATCACACTGCCTTCGGGGCCAGGAGACAGTGTGCGGTTGGATAATGACCATAATCAGGGAAGTTTACTTTACGTCAGCGTATTGTTTTGTCATGCAGAGGAATGACGGGCAATTTGACACTCAGCAGGAAAATATTTTCCAGTAATAAATGTACGCGTGCGCCTCAAATGATGGGCCTGTTCCTTCGGAGGGAGCAAAGAGACTTTGGTCATGCGATGTTCTCATCCTGGGCTGCTCACACTGAGACCCACCCATCTGCGCAGACACCTCATGGCACTGGCTTGTAAAAAGTGTGCCGGAGCATGGCTGTGGATGCGTGTCTGTGTGCACAAGTCCATGCGGCGCTGTTAAGGGATTAAGGATTAATTGCCTTCAGACCTTCACAGATAGACTTAAGTGCTTGTTACATGAACTTTGTTAAGTTCTCTCCTGGCCCCTGAGAGGAAAACAACACTTGACTGTAAGGAGCAGTGGACAAGTCTGGCTTTTTGTCTGCTGCTGCTCATTTTTTTCCACTTTATCTCTCTCTGCCGTTTCTTGATCTGGAGTGCAGAGCCGTGAGGGTAAGAACTTGAGTTGTTCTCACCTCTTGCTCTTTTTTCCTCTTTTTGTCCTTTTTATGACTGCAGCTCGTCCTTCATCTCTGCTTTCCACTTCTTGTTTTCAGTTTTGTCAGGCGGGCTTTGAAAAAGTGTCCACTTTTGTACTGTTATACATGTTCTTCTATATTTGTTTCTCAATAGGAAAGCAGTTGATTGATCAAATCAAATATCGATAACAGACTTGGATATTTAAATGACATTGGCAAAAACAAAAAACTAACCAGATTTAGCATTCAAGTTGCATAGTTATAGATTTTTTTTTAAAATCCTATCTAAATCTCAGTAATCTCCCATTTAGTTTGTCAGCTGCTGAACTAATGGGCTGACATTGACTTTGTTATAATAACAAAAGCCCATTCTCCCTTCACCTCATCATGATTCCTCAAGAGCCTCCAGGTTTCATGTTTTATTGGTTGGAAGAGCCTTTTTTTTGTGGAGCCAGACGCTCCATTTTCAGTATGGAGGGTCTGAAACCTGTAGTCTGTCAGGTTCTTTATGGTAAATTCAATATCTCAAGCTGAAACAAAATCATTTCTTAAAAGAAAAAATAAAATAAAAAAATGTTATGGATAGGTTTAAAATGCATTGTTTTGGAATAGTTTGCAGCATTTCCATTGGAAAATAAGAGAAACAACCAAACAAAAACATGAAAATAAGTTCAGCATTGGATTAGATGGTCACTGTTGACAGCTCTTTGAAAACACTCACCAGAATTTCATTTTTATTCAGGCACTGACCGGTATTACATTTTTCTGGTAGACCATTGAATGCAATAGAACAATCTCACTACATCGCAGTTTCCTCTTGCTGACTGAGACGTACATGTATATGTATATATATATATATATATATATATATATATATATATATATATATATATATACTGGATAGCTCATAGCTGACTGGATAGCTCAATATAGCTGACTGGATAGCTCAATACATAAGGCATCAGTATATCACCCGAGAGGGCAGGGTTCGAATCCAGTCTGGGTCCTTAGGCAAGACCCTTCAAGCTACTGCCTACCTCATACCATGAGAGATACTAAGTTGCATAACATGCCGGCTCAGACGTCGCCCGGCCAAACAAGGTCTGCGTCAGGTGTTGGGGAACCAGAGCACCTTGATGACAAATGGGCTACTGGAACAAGACGGAAATGGGCGAGAGATGAAAATGTGGATCTGTTGGAATGCTACTACTCAAGTAACCCTAGTGAGAGAGGTTACATGCAAAGACTGGGGAAGGAATGGTTACTTCGACATCCCCAGTCAACACTAAGCGCTAAACAACTAGTAGCTCAGTGTTCCAACATCCGCAAAACGGCAACTGCTATCACAACTTGAGATTGACGAGATACAACACAAATGCTACGGCAAAAGGAGGAACCCGGATGTCAGGACTGTGGGGACTTAACTACAAGTCCCCACCCAGTGAGGGGATACACGGCCCCAATGAGCGAAACAGAGCTGAACGAGACAGCTGCTGACCTGAGAGAGAATCATGACCCGAATGACAACCAGGCCTCCCCGGCGCCAATTACAACGGCTGAGTGAAGTACCATCAGAAAGTCTCATTGAGAATGTGAATGCAGCATTGAGAACGATCCCTACCAACACCATAACAGAAACCAATGAGCTGATCTACAACTCAGCATCAGTGATCCTTGAGATACTTGGCTATAAGAGCAACCATGAGACCCAATACCCACCATGGAAAAGACGGTTAGAGGCTAAAATCAAGGTAACAAGGAGGGAAGTGAGCCAACTGTCAGAGCTCCACAAGGGTACAATGAAAAGACCAGTACCCAGAAAGTACAGCCAGATGCCCATACCTGAAGCACTCGAGACTGCCAAACAGAGGCTCCAAGCCTTGGCCAGCCGCCTAAAGAGATACACAAGGGAGAATGAATCCAGAAGGATTAACCGGCTCTTCTCCACTCAACCAGCTAAGGTGTACTCTCAATGGCAGGGTAATAACAACAGAGCAGACCCACCAAGGCTGGAGACTGAACAATACTGGAAAGGCATATGGGAAAGGGAGGCGTCCCACAACAGCAATGCACAGTGGCTGATCTCTCTACGAGAGGACCACAGCAACCTCCCTGAGCAAGCCCCGGTAACCATCACTGTGACAGATGTTCAAGAAAGAGTCTCAGGTATGAAAAACTGGACAGCACCAGGCCTGACATGATCCATGCCTACTGGCTAAAGAAACTCACTGCTCTCCATGAGCGACTGGCAGCCCAAATGAACCAGCTGCTACAAAGTGGGACTCACCCTGAATGGTTAACTGAAGGGCGGACAATCCTAATCCAGAAGGATCCATCAAAGGGTCCAGTCCCACCCAACTACCGACCAATAACCTGCCTCTCCACAACCTGGAAGCTCATGTCAGGCATCATAGCGGCCAAGATAAGCAAACACATGGATAAACACATGAGCACGGCACAGAAGGGTATCGGTGTAAATACCAGAGGAGCCAAACACCAACTCCTCGTAGACCGCACAGTTGCCCGAGACTGCAAAACCCGACACACCAACCTGTGCATGGCTTGGATCGATTACAAGAAAGCCTATGACTCAATGCCGCATACTTGGATCATTGAATGCCTAGAGATGTATAACATCAACAGGATTCTGAGAGCCTTCATTGCAAACTCGATGAGGCTGTGGAAAACCACCCTTGAAGCCAACTGCAACCACTTGCACAAGTGTCCATCAAATGTGGCATATACCAAGGAGATGCCCTGTCCCGCTACTGTTCTGCATAGGCCTGAACCCCCTCAGCCAAATTATCAACAAGACTGGCTATGGATACCGACTCAAAAATGGGGCCAACATCAGTCACCTCCTCTACATGGATGACATCAAGCTGTATGCCAAGAGTGAGCGAGACATCGACTCACTGATCCACACCACCAGGATCTACAGCACTGACATTGGAATGTCATTCGGACTAGAAATGTGGTCGGCTGATCACAAAGAGGGGGAAGGTGATCCACACAGAAGGAGTCTCACTCCCACAAGGAACAATAGCAGACATAGAGGACAGTTACAAGTACCTAGGTATACCACAAGCAAATGGCAACCTCGATGAGGCCACAAGGAAAGGAGCCACAGCTAAATACCTCCAACGAATAAGGCAAGTCCTGAGAAGCCAGCTCAATGGCAAGAACAAAATCCGTGCGATAAACAGCTATGCCCTGCCAGTAATCAGATACCCTGCTGGAATAATCAGCTGGCCAAAGGAGGAGATGAAAGCCACAGATATTAAGACTAGAAAGCTACTAACCATGCATGGAGGGTTCCATCCCAAATCCAGCACCCTGAGACTGTACACGAGCCGCAAGGACGGAGGCAGAGGACTAGTGAGTGTGAGAACCACTGTCCAGGACGAAACAACTAAGATCCATAAATACATCAGGGACAAAGCCTCAACAGACAATGTGCTCAGTGAATGTCTCAGACAACAGGGAACGGAGGTTGAGGTGCCAGAGATACCAACATGGGAGGACAAGCCCCTACATGGGATGTACCACCAGCAAATAACCCAAGTGGCTGATATCAGTAAATCCTACCAATGGCTGGAAAAAGCTGGACTCAAGGACAGCACAGGGCCCTCATCCTGGCCGCCCAGGAACAGGCCCTAAACACCAGAGCAATAGAGGCCCAGATCTACCACACCAGACAAGACCCAAGGTGTAGGTTGTGCAAGGAGGCCCCTGAGACAGTCCAGCACATCACAGCAGGTGCAAGATACTGGCAGGGAAAGCGTACATGGAGCGACATAACCAAGTGGCAGGCATAGTGTACAGAAACATCTGTGCAGAATATGGACTGGAAACCCCGAGATCAAAGTGGGAAACACCCCCAAAGGTGGTGGAGAACGCCAGAGCTAAGATCCTGTGGGACTTCCAGATCCAGACAGACAAAATGGTAATGGCGAACCAACCAGACATTGTCGTAGTGGATAAACATCAGAGGAAAGCCGTTGTGGTAGATGTAGCAATACCAAGTGATTGCAACATCAGGAAAAAGGAGCACGAGAAACTGGAGAAATACCAGGGCCTCAGGGAAGAACTGGAGAGGGCCTGGAAGGTGAAGACCACAGTGGTGCCTGTGGTCATCGGGGCCCTCGGGGCAGTAACCCCCAAACTGGAGCAGTGGCTACAACAGATCCCAGGAACAACATCAGACATCTCAGTCCAGAAATGTGCAGTCCTTGGCACAGCCAAGATACTGCGCAGAACCCTCAAGCTCCCAGGCCTCTGGTAGAGGACCCGAGCTCAGAGGATAAGAACCACCCGTGGTGGGTGAGAAGGGAATTTTTCTTTTTTTTTTTACACAATGGTATGCTTGATTTTATTTAAAACAGAGTTGCCGTAATTGTTCCCAAATCTATGAAATTAATATTGCATGTTAATTGTTGCAATTTGAGTAATGTTATCCAGGGAGATATTTGTTTTATGCATGTGCATTACAACAGATTCATGGCCCAAATATATTCTTACCTTTAATAGAGTTAGGATTAAAGTAAACTTTTCATTATACCACCATATTTATTCGGACTGGAGGCAATGATTGGTCCTCCAGAAGTTCAGATCGTAATCTGAGAGAATTTGTGGATGACAAGTATAGACTCATCCTCATAGACTCTGAGCCCATCATCTGAGATTTACAATCCAGTAAAAAGAAAAAAAAGGTAAGCCTATGAAATGTTTGCTTATAATGCAAATACAGATTTACTTTTTTATTAATTATTGAGAAGTTTCTGAAGAATTTATTGTAATAAAAGCGATACTCCCCTTACGTAGTGTGATTATATCTTTAACATTTTTTAGTCATCATGGCAACATCGTAGTCACACAACCAAGAATAAGTTCTTTCCTAATCAGTGATGCAACCTCCCAGACGTTTCTCAACACGTCCCATTGTCTTATTTTCTCCAAACGAACAGGAAAGTTATCAAAATCCGTTTTGTCTGTGGCCAGACTGTCGATGTGGCAACTGCATTTTAGGGCTGCTGGAGAGATTACAAAACAGAGGTCAGACCACATATCACCCAGTCTGCAAGTGGAAATCCACCCTGACGTCCCAGTTTGTCTTTGTCCCCATCCATATTTTGGGTTACCACAGCGATGGTGACCTCGCCATTTACTCACGGTCTCACGGTGTCTATTGGAGGCATCGAGGCCCGTCTATTGAGCTTCTTTGGAGTTTTGGAAACTGATGGCAAGAGGTTCTAGAAAAACCAGGTGCGAACTGGACCTTATTCAGCAACAGGAAGCTGTGACTGGAACAGGTTTGTTAATAAATTGACTAATGGTTTATTTCCCCATTAGGTGAGTTGATACAGCTGGCTGGTGAAAGAGGAGACCTGAGGATGACAGAGACCAATACTCCAAAATCGGCAAAGAAGCCCCGTTGGACCTCTCTGGAAATCAGCCTCATCACTATCGTCTCTCTGCTGTTCATCGTCGTCGTTGCCCTCGTCATCCTGTTCGCCACCCAGAAGACTGGTGAGTGTTTTTAATTGAGGCTTAGCACTGAAACTGATATGTGTTCATGTTTTATTTCTTGTCTTTAACATAACTCAAACAACAAGAACTGTGTGAGCAAAACAAGTGAATCATGTAGCCGAAAGGATTTCTCAAGGACATTCATTAGGTTTCACTTCGTGATAAATGGTAAGCACAAAAAGAGCATGCACAAATGTTGCCCTTTGCTCAGATACAAGACACTTGTTCTGCGTGCTTTTATCCACTGTGCTTCAATACAGTCTCTGGCACAGAACAGAAAAAAAGGAAAGAAAAATATGTGTATGTGTTCAAAGGTCTCCTTTGAAAGGTTTTCGTGACTCAAAACAGACTCAAATTTCTAAATGTAGGCTTGATTCTCAGAACTGCATATTTCCAAGAAGAAAATATTTTTTTTTCTTCAAAAAAGATGTTGTATGAAGAAAAATGGAGAATTGAGAAGCAAGGCTGGAGCCTTTTATTTGTTTCAGTTCAATGTCAAATCTTAGGTTTTACTCCTTCTGCTTTAAAAAAAGCAGTGAAATAGGGTTTGATTTATCACAAGCAGGTGATCTATAGATTAATTATTGACAAAGTTCAGCAGGTCATGATGGCAGAACCCTGACAGAAAAGGTCATCCAATTAAGTTTGATGGAGTTCGTCTGGCTTTTGTGGCCGTGTTGAGCTATTATTAATTTTTGCAGTCTCGTGCTTTATTAATGTGTGAACTGCTTTGTCAGGGAAATGAACACTGAATGCTTGCAGCCATGTTTACACTCAACTGGGTTCATTTTATGTGCGCTGACTCATATAACCCACAAAGCGTTGTGTTAAAGGTCGGATTGCAATTTGCTGCTCTGTCAATGCATTCAAGTGTCACTTGAATGACACATTTCTGACAGAGAGAACGTGACACTAAAGCAGAGTTTTGCGTATGTGAAACAAATTAATAAATTAAAAGAAATACAGAAGAAGGAACTGATTTAGATGTAATCACCAATGGGTGCTGAAAAACCAACTAAGTAATGGAAATGTGTTTTACGTTCTCTTGCAGATGAAATCTGCACCACAGCTGACTGCACGCAGTCAGGTAAGCAGCTTGTGTTTGTTTGTTTTCTCTCTCTATTGTTTCATCCTGAAGGCTTTGACTTCTCCCAGCGGGAGCCGGCATGGGAAAAGTGAGGCTGCAGCAGAAGCATTTTAGACATTGCTCACTGAAAAAGGCCTCTTCGAAAGAGACATGTTCTCTTTCAGTCAAAACCACAATAAAACAGATATGATCAGCCCTACTGCACATACGACTTTTAATTCAACCAAGAAGCTTGCATCTCAAAAAGCAATAAATTAATGTACAATGAGATCAGAAAAAAATATTCATGTTTCATGTAGAAAATTATTTGTAACCTTGATAAACATGTTGATGCAGGTCCACGCTTAAAAATATTATGGTAAATGCAAACAAATTTCATTTAATGTATTAAACACTAATACATTAAATGTCATAGGGAGCAAAAAATATCCAGCGCGTTGCATTAAGGTACAGACTCGTTTTGCCATTTAATAAACTTGGCAAAATGCAACAAAAGTAGGCTGCCTCCTGTTGTTGCTGCTGAAAGTACACCAAGTAAAACTAGAAAAACAAAAGATGAACCTGAAAAATTTACATCGCAATTTTCTTGTTTCATATGTCCAACGAGCAACTTATTTTGCCTTTGTTTTACAACTACATTGATTCACTGCTCCCTCGTCAAATCAATCTGACTGCTTTGCTTATTTTATTGGGGGGGAGGCAAAAAGTGTCTGTTGTTAGTTAGCATTGTTTATTTATCAGGTGAAATAAATTTAGAATTTACATACACAAAACTTTAATACACAAAACTAAAAGTTTTGTTTGTTTCAACTTGACAGTTTTGGCCCCCGTGCCAAAAAGTTTAGATTTTGTTTACTGAGGTAGCCTGGGTGGAACATGTCTGTCTTGTTCTATCTTCTGTAAAAGCAGCACAACATTTTCCCAAAAACATAAAAAAAATAATAAAAAATAACATCAATTTATGAACCAAACTTGGTGGTAGAGTATCTGAGCTGGATCACTTCGTAAAATTAAAAGAACCGTGACGGGGGTGGAGGGGGAATCATTAAAGAAAATTTTCTGCTAAATGTTTGAGGTTTATTCAGCAGAAAAATGAATGGTTCAAAAATGTGTTGGAAAGGCTTAGTGAAAGCCAGAAATGCTTGAAGATATACATGGAGTGATAAGGAAGAGCTTATAGCTTTCATTACATAACAGAAGGAAACCTTTGTCAAAATATGTATGTTTTTTTCCCTCTTATTCTCACAGCCCAACTCGTGCAAATGTATCTGATATGAACCATTATCCCAGAATTTCATGTGATAAAGCGGCACCTCCTATCCTTCCTTCAACCGTATTCCCAACGACTGAGTGCTTCATCACCGCGTCTCCTCCTCATACGCATATTGTGCGCTGGAGAACAATGTGTTGGTAGGGAAATGAAAACCACAGCGATAAGTAAGAGATGAACATCTTTGGTGACGGTTTTCAGCAACAGATGCCAATTTATTTCTGCAGCATTTCTGCAGAGTCGGTGTCCCAATTCAGTCAGATTTGATAGACAGCCTTGTCACAAGGGATCTCCGAGTGAGCAGCCGTCTGTAATTTAATTTCTGCTTTAAAAAAAAAAAAAGTGAACATATTTTCACTGCTGGTGCCTGAACAAAACCCAATTACCACCTCTATGCTGCTTTCTCTTTACAGATCTAATGTTAAGATTTTACTTGTCTGGAAATGGTACCTCGATGGAAAGGTGGGGGGGGGAAATCAATTTTAACTTTTTTTTTTTTTTTTTTTTTTTTTTTGTGGTACTGTCAATTATTTCTTGGGAGAAAATATTTTTGACAAACTTACAAAGCTTCATAAGCAGGTGCTCCATAAAAAAAAAAATCCCAAATTTCTCTAGTTAAACATTCGAATAGTTTAGTTTCCACTTGCATTGTGAGAATTACGACTCAGCTTCACTAAAGAGCTCTTACCTTGCAACAAGCTTTGCAAAAGTAGCCTGACTTGGTGCAAACTTCTGGGTGCTCACCGCACATTTTATTGATTTAGATCAGTGAAAATAATCAAAGCAACCTCAATAAATTCTTAATGTTTATCCATAACTTAAATAATTTCACCTCACTTTTCAGTGATGATTAAACACATTAGGTTTTGTGTTAGTATCTGAAATTAGTGTTTTGGCCCTTTAGCTTTGTAGGAGGATTAGATCACTCTAATCACTGAGCTTTTTTAGCTTCTTTCCATTTTCTAGTGGTCAGCTAATCAGCTGCAGCCTTCGTCCTTCAACAGGTTCTTAGCTAATCTTCTCTTTGAATACTTTGGTGTAAAATGATTGAACCTATTTCCCAGAATGTCAGAGTATTAATTAGTGACATTGGAGCATCTTTCATTAGGTGGTCATAAGTAGCTGTTGTAAAAGACCTCATTAAAAGTTGAACTTGTCTCGATCTGTGATGTTGGACTGATTCATTTCTTTTCAATGTGTGGAGTTTTTATTTAGAGTTTTTGATTATCAGTCTCAATTGAGCAGACTTCCTGTTTTATTTTGAAAGACCTTTTGTCTGGAGCACCTATGTCTTGGTACACAACTGTATTAAATGAAGCGTGGCTACTCTTGTCAATGCTCAAGTTTCTTTCTCATCAGTTAGACCGTCTTTATGTTCTTCTGTCTTGTTGCTGCTTTGTTGTTCACTTATTTATTTCCCTGCCTTCCAGTTCTCTCTTTGTAAGTTTTATTATAGTCCTGACAGTCTTCCTAGCAGAACTAAATTGTATTTCATCTGCATAATTTGATAGGGCTTCTTCCAACTCATACTATTTCATACTTGTTTAGGACGTTGTTTTCCCCTCCCGGTAAACCTAAAGCTTGCCTTCTCAATTTCCTGCAGCGTCTCGCCTCATTGAGAACATGGATGCTAGCGTGGATCCCTGTGACAACTTCTATCAATATGCCTGTGGAGGATGGCTGAAAAAGAACATCATCCCAGAGACAAGCTCCAGATACAGCACCTTCGACATATTACGGGACGACTTGGAGGTCATCCTCAAAGGTCTGGGACCTGCAAGAATTGATTGAGATAAAAGCTCTGAAAAGATTTTCACTGAGGCTTTTTTTGTTGTTGTTGTTGACAATTAGGAGTTAGGAAATAAGCCATGTGAAACTGAACTTCATGAAGAGAGGTCTATGTGAAGCATTATTCTCTGCTCTGTGTATTTTGTGACCTGCACAATAATGGGGGAAAAGTGCTGCTGCACTGACAGTTGTCCAGTAGGGTCAATGATAACTTCAACAACAGAAACTTCAACAAAGATTGTTTCTAAAGAAGCATCCTGCTTGTAGAGTGATGCTCTCAAGCCTAATAAAGTTAGATGAAAGGGGGCGGGGGAAAGTGCACAAACTAACTTGCAACCATAGCTTTAAGAAAGTGAGATTAAACTCCTCAACAGCTGGCCCTGGTCCACATCGAAGGATCAGTGCCACTTCAACATGGCCCTGGTCCTCCACACCTGAATACTGAATATGCTTGGCAAATTTTTATATTTTTTTTCCCTTGACACAAAAAAAAAGTTTCTGCTGATAATTTGATTCTTATATTTTGAAGCAAAAAGCCGCTGTAGGATGCAGGACAACTTCTCCCTGAGAACCGGAGGTCGAGAGCCCTTACTTGATTGTGAGGCAGAGCCTGCTTTAGAGTTCAGGGGATATCCACAAGGTGTGAACTGCAGCTGAGCAGAAGTCACAAATGTTTGGAGGAAGAGTGGCGAGGCGTGGAATCCAAATTGCGTCTGAGAAGTCTGAGAAGTTTTTTTTTTTTTGGGGGGGAGGGGGGGAGTCGGAATCTTTGCAGTATTGACAAGAAAAAGACAGAGGAAGCAGATCCAACAATGCAGACAAGCTCAGGGTTTCAATTAAAGCGAGTTGGGCTTCCATAACCTCTCAGTAAAGGCACGCGATGGTCACCTTTACGTCACATGGATTTGTAACTTCGGCAAAAAGCACTGAGTGCAAATACTTTACAGTATGGACTGCAGGCTGAAATACCTGCATTTCTGAGAAAGTGCACTTCAAATTTTGCAAAATCAACAACAACAAAAAAAAAAAAAAACTCTTGAAAATCCAAATATTAAAGCTGGGTGTTATGGGTTTTTCAGTGACATTGTGCCATTTTATATCACTTTGAAAGACGAGTTTTCCTTTGCATCATTACCAGATCTGATGCACTAACATTGACCTCTGTCTCTTTAAGAACCTCATACCCTCTACGACAAGCTCCCTTTAGCATGTCATCACAACAATATTTCTCCATGCTGCCCATTGATGCCCTTTACAATCGTTCTTGGGAGCGTTGGACTCGGCTCACCAAATTTGCAGTTCGCTAGTTGTTGCTGCCGCTAGTTTGAAGGACCCGAGAGCAGGTGTACGTTGAGGGGAAATGGGCAGTGCATTGTATGAGCACGCATTTAGGTCTAGGCACCCCATAGTGGCTGCCAACAAGGGATTGAAGAATTTTCAAACATGAATGAATCAAAGCAACACTTGAGGGGATAACATGATATGAAGCTCCAAAAGTGGATTTTACATTTACTCTCTTTTTTTCTTTCTTTCTCTTTTCAGGCTAGCTCTGTGAAGGTGTTGAACAGCTTTTTCTTCTTTTTTCTTTTTGGTTGCTAAGAAGTCAGATTTTTAAAGATATTTGTCCTTCAGGGACTACAGCTCTATGGATATCTCAGATCCTACAGGAGTTTGGCTTCATTTCTACCATGTGGGACTTTGCCAGCAGATGGCTGAGTTTGGGAAAATAAGTGAGCACGCATGTCAATATATATATATAAAAAAATATATATATTTGTATTTGGATGAGGCTCGGGTGTTTCTCTGTTTTCTTAGTGAGCATTAGAGCCTTGTTGGTTCTTGTGATATACAGAGGGTCACATTACTCTGTGGCTGCGTTTGTGTGCTTTGGGGATTTATGGGTGTATGCATTTGTGTGAGGTCCGTATTTCACCCAGGACTGTCTGCAAGAAGGCCGCTCGAGTGCTCAGCTGAAGGCACTAAAGCTTTATGGAGGACAAAGCCTCCATGAACAACAGAAACTCCTCATGTGCCATGAATGTTCAAATTAACTGGCAGTACTTTTTTTGTGCATTACGAGGGCTAAGTGAAGCTTCAGGGCTAAGAAAAGCCATTTAGGGTGTTGACAATAACTGCTTAATGAAATAATTTGTGCCAGCATTGAGTTTTTTTTTCTTCTCTCTTTTCATTCTTTTCATGATGGTGGATAAAAGTAAAATCAATGTAAGAGGTTTTTAAATCTGCTCGTTCTGCCGTTAACCTTCTGAGGATTTCTTGGTGCAGAAAATTAGAAGATGGTAGAAATGTAGGGGCTGGGATTTAGAGTTTTGGGACTTTATCGATGAGTGCTGCAATATTTCTGGCTCTGCACTAGGAATTCAACCTGGGACTCCTTCACCCTAGAGTTTTAAAGCAAGACTTTTGCTCCTGGTTCAGAAACGTTCTGGCACACCTGCAAGGGTTGTGCAAAAACATAACCCTTGAAGTTCTTCCACATTTTGTCAAATTCTAACTACGTTTTTATAGGATTTTATACAACAGACCGACATAAAGCAGAGCTTTATTGCACTGTAAAAGAAAAGGGAAACACGGCTTTCAAAGTCTGCCCTGCATTGTAATCATTTTCACTTTAGTGAGTAACATTTGGAGAACCGCCCTACAGTGTGATCACCGTTGCATGCGTTAGTTTTGGACATCTGGAGGATCGCATTATTTTTCTTTGCAAAATAACTGCAGCTTGGTAACACTGGATGAAGAGCAACTGTGAATATCAGTTTAACTTGGATTTTTGACTTTGACTAGGCCATTCTAACACATGACATAGTCATTATTATGCTGTGATCTTTGAGCTCCGGCTTTATGTTTAGCGTCACCGTTTGGCTGGAAGATGAATGTTTGCAACCTTTTTGTGGTTTTCTTCCAGATGAGCCGAATCTCTCTTCCAGGGCGGTTAGCCAATATTTTAGTAATCGAGTATTCCATTGATTATTCTTACGATTCATCGAGCACTCTGGAAAGAAAACCTCTCTCTGTCTGTCTCTCGCTCTCTGAGCCGCAGCGCTCTTCGTCCCAGGAGGACACACTCCACGCATGGCACCAATCAGTTTAGGAAAGCTTATTTGATCCTTCTCCCTCCCCCAAAAAATTGATTAAAAAAGCCCAGGAAATCTGACATTATTCTGCTGGCCCTTTGCAACAACTCATAGGCTGACGGGAGAAGTGAGAGCGCTGCCCCGAAACAAATGATGATCCGTCCGGAAGCTTGGAGGCAGATATGTTAATAATCGAGGTACTCGACTCATTCAAGGATTCGTTACATCCCTACTGTCTTCCCACGAACTGCCAATAAGCAGTTTTTCTGCTAATAAATAAGGACGATGTTACTGTCACTCTATTTCCTTTGGTTACGTGTTTGGAATGGTGTTCAGCTGCTGTTGATATTCCACCAATGTTGGAAAAACACCGTTTTGCAATTGCGGGTTTTGCTTTATACGGGAAACACAATTAAAATCCCACAAGTTCAACGTTTGTTCAAGCAACAAGTCATTAAAAGAACATGCTGCGTCGTCCTCCTCCCGTCCCTTCCTGTCGCTTGTTGATCACATGTGCGATGCGAAAAAAGTGTTTCTATTGCAGGTTTGTAAAAAAAAAAAAAAAAAAAAAAAAAAAAAAAAATAATAATAATAATAATACACCAAGTTCAAAACAGCAAAAACCACCTCATCCTAAGAAAAAAATTGTAAAAAAAAAAAAAAAAAAAAAAAACAGGAGTTGTTGAATTTATTTTTGTAATTCCAATTTGTGCATCTGGTCATTGGAAACACAGCTACTGTTTTCTGCCACATAAGTTTATTCATGAACACTAGAAGTTTTTTTTTTTTTGACCAGTTCAACTTTTTCCCCACATTTTTCTGTCTCCTATGTGGCCAGTGGCAAAAAAAAAAAGAAAAAAAAGGAATGATTATAAATAAATAAAAAAAAAAAAAAACGAACCAGCCTGTTGGCACAACTGTGCACATTCAACAGCTTGTCTTGTCACCAGAGTTTCCCTCATGAGTTGTTGGGCCTGTTGGCACCTTTTCTGATTTTTTTCTCCTCTTTTTCTCGGTGAAATTACAGTTCAAGCAGCGACAGGCATGCTCGAGTTTGAGATATTCCAACCAAACCCTGTTTTAAACTGTTTCCTTCACACTTTTGTTTTAGTATTCATGAACTTCACTAGTGTTCTCTGACTGTCCTGTGAGTTCTTTAACATTCATAATGAAATCATTTCAACTACTTGGACTGGATTTTACGTAACAATAAAAGGGGTTGAACACATAATCACATAACACTTGATACAATCGTTTCCATTTCACGAATGCGTGCCTCTTTGTGAGGTTCTGTTGCATAAAATAAACAAAGTTTTAAGAAAAAAAAAAAAAAGCATAGAAGTTTGCTGACATAATGTGACAAAATGTCAAATTTCCAGGAGTGCAAATACTCTTGGAGGGTGACTTTGGAGCCACTCTGTTCTGCCCTGGCTCCTACTTGGCAGGCCACTCTCAGAAAAGCCGCAGACAGTGAGTGGTGGGGAATAAGAAAAACAAACGTATTTTTCGCAATCTGATACCGTGGCCATTTACATGCATGGCACACCTCTGTGTGAAACTCTCATTTCGCACTCCTTGTATTTTTTTCTTCCTACATTTCAGCCGCTTTTATAAACTTTTTGACAGCAAAGTGTGCTGCGAGAGGAAATAACCAGAGAGAGACAGTAAAAAATAGAGAAACAAAAGAAAAAAAATCAGAACTGTGAGCAAAGTGCAAAGGTTGACGCTGTCAAATTATTAGCTTAATTGCTCTAAATGCTGTTTACCACAGAGAGGAACAGGACTGCCAGGGGACTGTTCCTAATCATTCATCCGCTCTGACCGTCGGTGTTGTGCTCATTCCTCTGGGCTGTGGAGCTCACCATCCGGAGATGGAATGTCTCAG